AATTGTACCATACTATCGACTGGATAAACAACGACAAATGTAGGTCGTAAAATGAAATGATGCTTGGCACCCGCAGACCTGCAGGTCTGGCTGTAGCTAGCAACAAGGTGTAGGATAGTCAATCCAGTATAGATCTATACGCAAACTCACGCTCTCCCTTCAAGAGACTCTAGCTACAACACGGGTCATGACATTGAAGTCATGCTCCGATACGGATCACAATGGTTAATGTATTCATGTATATGTAATGTAATGTTACTCGTACTAGTATCGTTGTATATGTTCTCTTTCTAGTATAGTTGTATATGTTTTCCTTCTAGTATAGTTGTATATGTTCTCCTTCTAGTATAGTTGTATATGTTATCTTTCTAGTATAGTTGTATATGTTCTCCTTCTAGTATAGTTGTATATGTTCTCCTTCTAGTATAGTTTTATATGTTCTCTTTCTAGTATAGTTGTATATGTTCTCATAGTAATAAGTATTGACTCATGAATGAACTGACTCATTGATCTAACAATAGTATAAGTATGATCCTGTGTTACCCTAATGGTAACTTACAAATGATGTAACTAGTATGTATGAACATGGAAGAACTTTTATGACTATATATGTACACACGATATATAATTTATATTGAAACCACCTTCGGACGGCTACCCGATATCCCACCAGACCACATCCAAATCGAGGAAAAGGAAATAGGGCGTGCAGCCTTCCTAAGCCTTTTAAACATTGCTTATATAACTATACATATACGGGCATGCAATTTATAATAAGCATAACAAAGTTTAAGTAAAAGTATTTGATAAGTAAAATAGTTTGTAAAACAGTTTGAAGTAAACAACGTTGATAAACAGTTTGAATAGTAGTAAAATCATTGGTTTTGTAGTTATTAATCACATGTGATTGATGTAATAACTATAAGTATTCAACTTGTATCCCCCCCCCCCCATAAAAGCATTTAAAACATTTAAAAGTATTTCAAAGGTTAAGTAAAGGAGTATGAACTCACTTGTGGTGAGTGGATTTGATTGAAGTGTCGGGTACGGTGCTAGGTGACAAATGAAGACTTGTACACACGCACGAGCCTAGTTATCATATAATGAATATATATAACTAATTAGCCAATTTATAAGTAATAAATTAGGTTGGGACACCCTAGAACATGAAAACACTTTGTTTCAAGTGTTAAAGATCACAAGGATTGCATCCGGGTGTTGGTAGGGCAAAACTAGTGTGTTTGGACTCCAAGGGTAAACTCCCTTGGAGTTTATGGTTTTTATGGTTAAGACTTAGGGAGTTTACGGCAGTAAACTCTAGTGTTTACGATCGTAAGATCTAGTCTTAAAGTCCAGGTGTTGTTTTGTGGTTTAGCAAGCCATTGAAGCAATTCTACTAAGTGGTTTGGCCTTTGGAATGGACTAGGGCAACAAAACACCCCATTTGAGGAGTTTACGGCCTCATGGGGTTTTCTTTTGGGTTTAAAAACCGTAAACCCATATGGAAGAGTGTATATCCATGTTTTCAAGTCCCCAACACAATTAGGTAAGTGTATAAGCTAGTTTATAGGCCTAAGGAAGGAAAATGACCCATTTTAACATACTTTAGGGTGTTCACGGTTTTGGGAGATCCCCAAACCGTAAACACCTATATTTGTGGGTATTTGATGTTTTTCAAGGCTTAAACACAATATAGGAAGGTTTAAATATGTCAAGGATGGTTTATACATCACACTAGGGCTTAGATAAGGACTTAGGCACACTTTGGTGCCCTTTATGGTGTTTACGGTCCAAGCATCTCCTTGGACCGTGAACACCTCTTGCCTTGTGTTCTTGACATATTTTATTGGTTTTTAAATGTAATACTAGCTTAGAATCACTCAAGGATGGAAGCACTTACTATTAGAAGGCTTGATTTGAGCTAAAAGGCCAAGAACACTTAGTGTGTGTTCTTGGTGTTTTGGAAAATCTAAACAAAAATCAGAAATGAATGGATGAATAGATACACAAACACTAGATTAAGTGTTTTACTAGCTTGAAATGGTTAGAACACTTACAAGATTGAAGATTTGGAATTAAATCTTGGATGATACTTGAGAGAGTTTTTGGAGTTTACTCTTTTGACTATTTGGGGAGTAAACACAATTACTAGTTTTTGGGGAGTAAACTCATACATATGTATGAGTTCACGGTTTTTGGGTGAATTCTAAACCCAAAACATAAAAGTTTGGTCGGGTGTATCTAATACGCGAAGTGTTTGCAGTTTTCAAAAATCAAAACCCGAGACGACACTTTCTTTCACCCGTTCGTTTAAAAATAAAATAAAAACAATCAAACGAACATTATATTTCTTAAAAATAAGAAATAGTGAGATTAATCTACGATACGAAGTGGTTGAATTTTAGGGTTTGACCAAATGGAAATTTCGGGTTGTCACAGTATTGGATCTCATACACACCGATGTGTGTGGGCCATTTAGATCCACCACAAGGGACGTGAACCGCTTCTATGTGACTTTCACCGATGATTATAGTAGATATGGATATATTTATTTAATCAAGAACAAGTCTGAAGCCTTTGAAAAGTTCAAGGAGTTTAAACAAGAAGTGGAGAATCAATTGGGCAGGAAAATCAAGATGTTTTGATCCTATTAAGGAGGAGAGTACCTAAGTCTTGAATTCCACAACTATCTCAACACTACTAGAAAAACAGCCTTTTAAGATGCACATTGCGTGTCGTAAAAGGCTTAGACGACGCGCAAATGTGCGTCAAGGAAGGCCCTTTCATAAAGAGAGACGACGCGCATTTACGACGCGCAATTACGACGTGCGTTTACGACACACAATGCGTATCAAGGAAGGCCTTGTCATAAAGGAAGACGACATGCATTCATGTGTTGCAACCTTACGACGCGCGTGTTAATGACACACAATGCGTATCATTAAAACCCCTGTCAAGAAAGGTCATGTCATAAATGAAGATGACACACATTTTTGCGTATCGTAAATTTAAATGTTTAAAAAAATATATTTTTATTTTTATTAATTTTTAAATTAAATTTGCATTTACTGTCTCATAATAGAAATAAAATACCATATATAAAAAATACAATCTATTGCATAAAATTTAATATCATACAATTATATTTCTTACAATATATAATGTTACAATAAACAAAATAAAGAAAGTAAATTGCTATTTTGAACATGTGAAGCATTATAACAACCTGCTTTGTGACAATTCCTTTGACCTATCTACCACTAATTGCACGTGACTTGATGCCTCTTTCAGATTGTGGTGCTTTGTCATCAGCAGCCTCTTGACCCAAATAAAAATCATATAAAAAAAATGGAAGTCAAAAAAGATGACATCAACGAGTGAGGTTTTATTATGTTATAAAAAAATGGAAGTCAGAACATGATCAATTATGGTTGCTATACTAGAGCATTGTACTTTCAAATAAATGAAAGTACATTGCTATTTCTTGCATATAACCTATAGTATAACAGTGAGTAGGATGCTATACTTACATTGTCATGGACCAACACTTCAATTCCTTCATCAATTATCTCCTTCATTGCAAAGAATTAGCCACCAATACTATTTCAAGCAAATTTGGGTTTCTAACATGATCAATTATGGTTGTGATAGTTTGAATGAATTTATATGAAAATGATTCAGTAGTTATGTATCTAGAGTGTATATGTATAAATCAGCAAGTTATGTTTTACCTGAATAACTGGAATACAAAGGACGTCACCTCCCAAAGCCATGATAAGAGAATTAACAACCATCGTTTCTACTACAAACCTCAGTAGCATCCCAAAGGCAGTTAGAGTCACACCAGAATTAATTATCTTGGGTTGTAATGCTCCTGAAAAAGATCAAGTAAAGTTTGTAAAATAGTTCATATAGAGTACTTAAAAGGGTAAAAATGGAATTAATTTATTTATATTATAAAAAATTAATAATCACCTTATGTAAAGCTTCAACTAAAGTTGTTTTTATATAAAGCTTCAACTTTGTAAAATAGTTCATATAAAGTTGTTTTATATAAGATCCATCACGACCCTGTGCAAGCCCTTTCTCTATAGCTAATTTAGCATACCTTAAAAGTATAGGAATTGCTAAAAAAGAATAAATAAATAAAAATAAAAAAATAAGCATTTTTTATTAAAATTTGTAATGTTACTTGTGAACAGGATAGACAATAAACAATTAAACCTGAAACAACAGCTTTTCGAACTTCTTCATGAAAGTATCATCTTGATCACCCATCTCCTATCATAAATAAAAAAACCTTATTGAAAGACGGAGAAGATAAATAAAAACATCAGTTAGTTTCTCCCAATAGAAGGGAAGAGGCTAAGTAAGAGCTACCTTACAAAATGTTACCTATGGCTCCAAGCTTGCTTGCTTTTTGGTGAATATGAAAGAACAAAACTTAAAAGTGAAAGCTCATCTTAACCATCTTTTTAAACTTGGGAGTTGGGATTTTTTAATTAAATAAAATTTATATGTTTAATACAAACAAAGTGTGTTCAAGCCCATAAACAACATGCGCCCATCTAAAAATTCCATACAATCTCTAAAAAATCTCAAAATTAGGCATCCATGGACACATGTTTTGGATATGTAAATCAGCCCCTAGTTGACCAATATTTTTTAAAATATGTTAATCTGAGTTTAAATCCCAGATTCTTTAGTGTGTATGGACTATGGACACTGACATGGTATAAAATCGTGTCATGGCCTTATAATTCAAGAGGTTACTCATAGCGATAATGGGTAAAAAAATTAAAGTAAAACGCCCTAAAAAATATTTTGAAAATACAAAGCAGAATGCTATAAGGAAATAAATGGAAACTACAATGGTATCTTTCAGGGATATAAGAAAGAAGAGCAAATGATGTTATGAATAAGAGAAACAGAATGAAACCTGCAGTTCCAAAATCACAACTTAACAACAAAAGTGCTCTGCTATGCTTCATTAGTTTGTTTTAAAGACCAGTTAGGGGAGATGAAGTGGCTGAGATATTATCCACTTTCTTTGAATGTAAACCAATCAACATCTTATATTGTTGATGTGAAGACATGAATGCATGTTTAGCAGCAGTGTATAATGGGTGGATTGAATCAGTTGAGTTGCCCAGTTTGTGATCTTTACTCCAGAAATCCATATCCATATCAGAAGTATTAGCTTGTGAAATGTCACTCATGGTAGCAAATTGGGATGGATGAGCAAACCCCACTTCATCACTGTTTGCAGATGAAAAGTAGAACATAAAGATACAATATTTTAATCATAAGATTTGGTATAGTAGTAGCGTGTGGAAAACATACATTAAAGGATCCGATTCAAGAATGGACTCTAATTGATATAGAAAAAAAAGAAGAGTCTGAGTAGTTGGATGGAATTGCTTCGGTCATGAATTGAAGGACTAACAGCTTGGCTCTAATATTAGGCACACAGGGGCATTTTTAACTGCAAAAAAGTCTCATGATTTGAAGGACTAACAGAAATAGTCTCTAATCAAGCATTCAATGAGCTTTGAATTTTCTTCTCATCTTCTGATGGAATGCTGATAGCTTTATAACCTTCTAACATTTCGGCAAGGTTTGCCAATAGATATAAAACAGAATTTTAATCAAAATTAATGTTTAATTATAAAACCAAAATTAAGGTGCTAAAATATTTATTCTTACCTTGCTCATTAGCCATGTCAAAGAAAGCTTGAAGCTTCAACGCCCTTCTGTAGTACATCATCCCTCTAACTGAACTGGTGGATAAAGGAAAATGTGGTGTTTTACCTAGTGTGCCTATCAGATCCCACCACAACAGCTCCGTCGAGTTAATAGTACAATCAATCACTATAGAGCACAATTCCAATTTTTTTTACATTCTAGAATCAAATTAGTCAATAAACTAGATGTTGCATGATTTTTAAAGAGATCCAAGAGAGATTGAAGTACCTGTTTCTTGGGTTGCTTAAGATGTTGCATTAAGGGCCTGAGTTGTGCACTACATGGAAAACTACCTTTGATTGGCCTGAGGGCCTGAGTTGTCAACTAGGGCCTTATAGCGCCCAACCGAAGCCATGCTTCCAAGATGCTTGTAAACAAAAGGATCTCCAAGATCAATGTCCTTTGCAGAATAAGCCCTCCCTGCATTTTGCTTCCCAATCTTTTTATTAAACAGCTCCACCAGAAACTTCCCTTCTCTTTTAGCAACCTGTTATATTCACATTAACAAATTGGAAATGAACACAAAAAAACAGTTCAAACCTCTCAACTTAATCAAAAAAAAAAATTTATTCACTTAGGAGAAATGAACATAAAAAAAACTGCTCAAACCTCTCAACTAATTCTCTCTATAACACTTTCCTAGAGATTAGTCTTTGGATCCACATGAGCTTTTTCCATGGCTATCACGTTATGTGCATATGGTTCACTATGCTTCACAAACAGAAAGGTATACAAGTAAATAATAAATAATGTGAAATTATTTAAATTATGGAAGTATAAAGAATTAAAGATAGTTACTGAAACATCTGCTACCCAAATTCCAATAGAGTTTTGATAATATGAGCACACTAAAAGCTTTCCATCATCAATACAAAGGTTACCCAATGTTGAACATCCTATGTCAACAGCATCATGAAAAATTATAGGCTCCCATGAATACACCTTAAAAAAGAATCAGAGTGAGAATTATAGTTTCCAAAACGCAAAATATAAAAACTAATGTAAAAAAGAAGAAAAAAGTTAGAACCTTTAAACTGTTGTCTAATCCACAAAAGAGTGTTCTTGCATCTGGATGAAATGCAACTGATCATACCCCTTTTGCCTGTGTAAAATCAATAAAAAAGTTATAAAAGAAAGATCATGGGCCCACATTGATACATAGAAGTTTCAAGAAGTATACCTCAGCTGGAGTTGTTCCAATCAATTCAAAGGTTTCCAAATCCCAAAATTTCACAGTTCTATCTGATGAACCTGAATTAACACATGCATCATCAATAAAAACATAAAAAAGTTGGAAAAAAATAGAAGCCATTGTTGGATGGATACAAACCTGTTGCTAGAAGAAACTCAATAGGATGGAAATCCACTTATTTAATATGGCCTTCGTGTAACTTGAACTCATGCAATAAACCCGCAAGAGATATGAATCACTTTTGGAGTCAGTTTCCATTTATAAGAGGAGTATGACACAAGGAAGACAATAGGGAAATTGATGTGGTGTGTTTTGGGGAAAGGGTTGTTAGACATCAGAAAACTGGAAGAGAATAAAAGATAAGGGTAAAACCATATTTAGGGTTTTTTCGATTTGGGGTGTGAAGAACACCTGAGCCATCACCACCAAAAACCCTAGCACGTACTAAGTCGATAGAGAAATGAGAGAATCGGGATTTTAGAAGAAAATAAAAGACCTCCCGCTACCTACTAAGAAGGAGAATCAATCTTTGCATTCCATACTTCATAGTGATAACTCATGGAATTCACAGAATTTCATTAAGTCAAACCATGGAATAGAGTTTCATATAGCCAACGTTTTTCGTGTTGGTCATCGCTTTCGTTTTGATTTGAAGATATCGGTGGGTAAGATATGTCGTAGTTAAGGCTACGATTAGGGTTTCGATCTTTCAAGAATCTGATTCCAAAGGGGGGAGAGAGAGAGAGAGAGAGAGAGAGAGAGAGACGAACTGCTTAAAGGATTGTTAAGGTTTTTTTAGGAGAGGACTTTACAAGGAGAAGAAGGAGATGATCCGGCGGGGTGTTTAATTTTTTGGGATTTGTTTTCCCCCCATCGCAAGCAGAGAATGCGCCTTCCTAAAAAAAATATAAAACGACACAGTTACACGACACACTCTTTATTATTGGTGCCCTCCGTGGTTTTCTTTTTGGACACTAATTTTAGTGCGCGCAAAAAATGCGTGCCCTCTATCCTTCAAATTTTAGAAAACTGACATTATTTTTTACCACACGCACAAATGCGTGTCCTCTATCAGCGCGTGTCATTGTTTGCGCGTCATTAAAGGGCTATTTTCTAGTAGTGCAAGGAATGCGGAATAGTTTTGCAATTGACGCCGCCTAGGACACGGTAGTTGAATGGTGTGGTTGAGAGGGGTAATCAAACCCTGTTGGACATGGTTTGTTCCATGATGATTCGTGCTTCACTACCTATCTCATTATGGGGTATGCCTTAGAGACTGCCGCCCATATCCTTAACTTAGTCCCTACAAAGAAGGTTGCCAAAAAACCCCACGAGATGTGGACAGGGAAAGCTTCCTCCTTGGTACATATCAAGGTTTGGGGTTGGGAGGCTTTCGTAAGACGAGAGACTCACGAAAAGCTCGAACCTTGTAGTGAGCGGTGTATTTTCATCGGCTACCCATAGAAATCCTTTAGATATTTCTTCTATAGACCGAATGTCAATGTTGTCTTCATTGCGAGGAGAGGGGTTTTACGATAGCGAGAACTCATAAGCCAAGGAGACAGTGGGAGGCAAATCGATCTTGAAGAGATCCAAGAGTCGAGCGATGAAGGATCCTCTAACGCTGGCCCTTAACTCGAGGAGGAAACTCCGATTGAACCGATTGACGAATCCTTACCTCTTAGACGTTCCAAAAGAGTTAGAGTTCAACCCCGGTTATATGGTTTTCATGTTACTACAGAAGGGGACACGTATATTAGTGATAGTACACTAATAAATCTAGATGAACCTAATAGCTATAAGGAAGACATGGCAGGCCCGAAGTCTGCAAAATGGAAAGAGGCAATGGGCAGCGAGATTCAGTCCATGTACGACAACCAAGTTTGGAATTTGGTTGACCATGTGCCCGGACGTAAGACAGTTGGGTGCAAATGGATCTTCAAGAAGAAGACCAACATGGATGGGAATGTGCACACGTATAAGGCGCGATTGGTTGCGAAGGGTTTTACTCAAACTCCTGGAGTTGACTATGATGAGACATTCTCACCAGTTGCCAAAATAAAGTCTATTAGGGTGATTCTAGCCATTATTGCATTTCATGATTATGAAATATGGAAAATGGATGTCAAAACCGCTTTACTTAATGGGAGGTTAGCTGAGGATGTTTACATGGCTCAGCCAGAAGGTTTTGTCATTACGAAGCATCCCAATAGAGTGTACAAGCTTGAGAAGTCCATTTATGGACTTAAGCAAGCATCTCACAGATGGAATCTTTGCTTCGATGAGAAAGTCAAAGATTTTGGGTTTGTACGAAGCGAAGATGAATCATGTGTATATGTCAAAGCTAGTGGGAGTATAGTTAGCTTCCTCGTATTGTATGTCGATGACAGACTAGTCATAGGAAACGACATCCCGAAACTGCAGGAAGTTAAGTCCTGGCGTGGGAAGTGCTTCGCTATAAAGGACCCCGGAGAGGCTTCCTATATTTTGAGAATAAGGATAATGAGAGACCGAAGTAACAGACTAATAGGACTTAGTCAGAATACTTACTTGGACAAGGTGCTAAAACGTTTTAGTATGGAAAACTCAAAGAAGGGAGAATTACCAATCCAAAGTAATGCTAAGTTGAGTAAGACTCAAAGTCCGAGTACCGAAGCCGAGATAGCAGAGATGAGCCGGGTACCTTACGCTTCCGCAGTTGACTCGATCATGTATGCTATGACTTGTACTCGCACTGATGTGGCCTTCGCTTTTAGCATGGTCAGTAGATATCAAGGGAACCCTAGCAAAGCACATTGGACCGCAGTCAAGAATATTCTTAAGTACCTTCGTAGGACAAAGGAATGGTTTCTAGTCCTCGGATGGAGTGATGACTTAAAGGTGCAAGGGTATAGTGATGCCAATTTCCTGACTGACAGAGACAACTATCGTTCACAATCGGGCTGGGTCTTTACCTTTAATAGAGGAGTAGTGACTTGGAAAAGTTCCAAGTAAGAAACCGTAGCTGATTCAACGTGCGAATCATAGTACATTACAGCGAGCGAAGCATCAAAGGAGGCGATATGGTTGAAGAACTTCATTGGAGACCTTGGAGTTGTACCTGCCATAAAGGAGCCTATGGAATTTTTCTGTGATAATGAAGGAGCGGTTTCCTTGACCAAGGAACCAAGGGATCATGGTAGATCTCGACATATCGACAGAAAATGTAACATCCGGATTTTACCAGGTATCTTGTAAATCTAATTTTGTCATATTGTGAGAGGGACTCGGCGAGTTGGAGCTCAGACTCGCCGAGTAGAGACGCGGAATTGAACATTGGTGCGCGCCTGGACTCGGCGAGTCTAGGATGTGGACTCGGCGAGTCTGCGCTGTGTAATGAAACCCTAAATCTCCGGGTTTGAGGCCTATTTAAAGGGCCTTATGGCCGTCATTTGTGCTCACCCAACCCTCAGTGAGTGACCCTTGTGTTCTTGAGCTATTTGTGAAGAGAAAGGAGCCATTCTTGATCTTGTGTGTGTTATTTAGCAAGAAGAAGGAGACCCTAGGCAAGAGGAAGCAAAGGAGGTTGCTATTTCGTGGATTTGGAGCTTAGATCATCACTCTAGAGGTATTATCTCGGACCATTTTCTGTTTAGTGAAGCATGATGCAATTTAGGGCTTGTGGTGGTCATTTATGGGATGATTTGATGCCCATTGGTTCCCTCTTTGAGTTGAGGCCATGGATCTGGATCCATAGAGGTCCAGAGAGCCTCACTCATCAAGCTTTATGAGTGACAATAGAGTCTTTGACCTTGTGTTGTAGTATTTGAGTCATAAACATCATATATGGTCATATAGAGGTTGTATGTGCATCAAGATTGTAACTTTACGTGCTAAATGAGCTTGGAGGGACTGGATCTATGGATTAATGAACTGGATCTGACCTTTAGAGCAAGATTGAGTCAGTGCATGGCATGGACTCGCCGAGTCCGAAGAACAGACTCGGCGAGTAGCATGAATGTTGCCCGACCACACTGTGAGTGGCCTCGCCGAGTTGGGAAAGGTGGACTCAGTGAGTCAAGGGGGAGTCAGAATGGACAGGTGGACTGAGTCTAACTGGACTCGCCGAGTTGTTCTTGAGACTCGGCGAGTTGAGTCGTGGTGGCCCCACAACTCGTGCCAGGTGGAACTCGTCGAGTTGAGGGAATGCTCGACGTGTCAAGGGAGGATTCCAGGGAAATTGGTGTACACGCCCAGACTCGCCGAGTCGCCTGGGTACTCGCCGAGTCCGGTCAAAGTTGACCGTTGACCGTTGACCAGCGTTGACCTAGATTGACTTGTTATAGTGTGGTCAACCCTAGTTGGGAAAGTGTTAATTAGAGGTGTATTGTGCTATAGGGGGACGACAGCTCGACAGGTCGAGTGATTAGCGATTTCAGGTTTACGATTTACCGAGACACGCGAGGTGAGTCTTCTCACTATACTTTACCTTGAGTAGGTAACCAGAGTTATGTGATAGAGTATTTGTATGCTATGTATGTTATGTGTTGTACTGCATTACTTCTATGTGTTTGATGCTGTGCATGTTTACAGAGTTAGAACCGGAAGGTTCACAGAGTTAGAACCTGAGGGTTCACAGAGTTTGGGTGCACGGACCCACAGAGTTATAGCCTCGAGTGGCTAATATGTGTTATATGTAGTATTTTGGGGAACTCACTAAGCCTTGTGCTTACAGTGTTGATGTTATTGTTTCAGGTACTAGTGACGACCGCGGGAAGGCGCCGGCTTGATCCGTACACACACACATTCGGAGCTTGATATCATGATCTTGGGATTTTGTATTGTCTTGTTTGGATAATTAAAATGGTTGTTTATGAATATCAATGGAATTATGTTTTATAAAAATTGAAAAATTTGTTTTGAAAATTTTCGGTGTTACAAATTGGTATCAGAGCCTTGGTTTGAGGGATTCGGGTACACCTTCGGGGGTATTTGAACTCAAACTGAGGAATTGAAGAGATATTTCAAAATAAAACCAAAGTTTTCTAAGAGTAAAAGATTTTCCAGGAAGAAACGTGTGTACGATCAGCCAGCGCCCGAACGGTGAATTCCCAAAATACCTTTATATTATGTGATAATTA